CTACCTTCTCTTTCTTGGCTTCGGTCAGGTTACCTCGCTTGCCTGTGACTTGACTTTGGAAAATGTCACCCGCCTCTTTTTCTTGGCCTGGATGTACATACCCTGAAGTCTTCCAATGCGCATCGAGTTCAAGTAGTCCGAGTCTTGGCTATCATAAGACGATCATTCATTCAACTTCTCTCGGTAAATTATGATGGGTTCCACATGGTACATGTGAACAATGTTTGCCTACTGCTCCAAATGTACCCAGGCCTCGATCCGAACTAGCTATGATAAACCTTTCTAATGACACCTCAGTCAAAGCCAATTTTCCAGTCTTGATTTATGTACTATACCTGACTGAGTATCCAACAGTAAGGAAAGCCATTCCCTATGGGAAAATGCGATAATCGATGAGAAAATATCAATGTATTCTCTCAGCGCCTTAGGATCGAGTAGATTAGTAAAGGGAGCATAACATCAAGAATTCAAGTACTGTAAGTACTGAGATTGATACTATGTGACACAAACTGTTCGTAAAACTCTCAAACGTGAAGTAGGCTTGTGGGAGTCAGATGTTGCAACTTGCTAAACACAGTTTCAAATTCTGGACCAGGGAAATTGGCCAGGCTGGATACATGTATCTTACGTGATGAACTCGTTTATGTACCTTAGTAACGAAAAACACGCTCTTATTGCTTAATGTTCTCACCGGACTAAATATGACAATATGTATCAAGTCCTTTATTTGTCAACACTGGGCAATGGTGTAAGTGTATTGCATGACACTGAACTCATATCTGGCAGATCTTCGACCAATCTCACGTACACAAGAACCAACTGGCTAGAAAAACATCAGATAAAGCGCTTCAAGGGACGCCTCGACTGAACCCGAGGCATCAGCATTCTGTAGCCTCACACAGGATCAGCCATAGTCACGTAGACCATAAACACTGCCTGTTAGGGCTTTGACAGAGGCCTGCGTCCATGATTTCAAACAAATCTTTTGTGATACCGTCACTGACCTTCTTTCAAAATCAAATCAAACCTTCAGGGCTTTCTTCATCTTCTTCAAACACCTCAAAGTGAATCGCCAACTTGGAAACAATTCGCTTCGCCAGCAAAGGCTTCCATCAGAGCAGGATGGCAGGAGGTTCAAAGCCTGGCGTGTACGTATCAGATACAATGTCTACAACTAATCGTCCCATAATCTGATTGTCGAAAAACAACCTGGTCCTATACAAGTACTGAGTCGCGAAGGACCTCACTCTGGCCAACTTTGGCGAACTGGTGGCCGCCGAGAAACCCGACTACGACTCTACCACCACTGTTCAGGCGACTAACAGACCCGCGGTTGATGAACCAAAGCCTCAGTCGGAAGGCTACGCGGTTTCCCTTCTTCGGCCGAAATGTGACCTCCTACCATGATGCCCTCTGGCGCCAATGTCGACCGCAAAACCTGGGACGGCAACAACGCGAGAAAGATTAAGGAGTAAAACGAGGACTTCATGGCGGCGGCAATGGCTGATGAAGAGAACGATGAGGGACCCATTAGAAATCCTGAAGTGCATACGAATATGATTTTGAGCGTTTCTCGGGAGCCTCATCTTCCCAGTTTTTCGCCCCCTCTGCCTCGCTATGCAATTATGCCCTTTGAAGATGTCCACGCGTACCATCCAGCTCTCGCGCTCGATGACTTCGAGCACCAGCAGCATGCGCATTTGGCCCCAATGGCTCCTTGGCACCCCAACAACGTTCAGGAGCCGGATGTCCACCAGAACGACCGTGCCGTGGAGGCCGTCAACAACTATATCATCCCTGGACAGCAGCCGCAGATCCTCCCTGGTCTCGATGACAATCGCTTCGATGAGTACACGCTGCATTATTAGTCTCTGGAGGTTGATTGATTTGGCTACCCTTGCAGCCTATCCCCACGTCGGAGGAAACGAGAAGGCATGGAATGACAAGCAGGAATAGCGAGTATGAGACGATGATGTTGGCAATGAGAAGCATGATGAAGCTAGGGATCAATGACGCTGTGGAACAACTCGGATGAGAGCACATGTATATTCAGCACAGTCACCAGTGACAGCCTGCGGGCTTGTCTGCCGATATAAAGAACGCTTCCTATTATTGAGCAGAAGACCTACTACTTTCTCATTCTACTCACTGCCAGTGTATCATAGAATGTCCCGGTGAATTATGCAAAGACGAGATGAAGCCGAGTTCCTAGAGCGTGGTCATTGTATCGACGAGGTCATTACATAGCACATAACATGAGAACACAAGTTGAATTGCCACATGGATTACAATTATATCTATATTTTTTGCGCCTCGATGTTGCAGACTAATGAGCCTAAGATGAGGTCAAGTTCGTCAAGAGAGTGGCCCAGCATATAAGCTGTGCCATATGTTGAGCCATGACAGCTTTGCGAACTCGTTTACAAGTAGGCAAGAGCACCGAGAGCGAGAGCAGCCAAGACGCCAACAGGGCCCTGAGTAGCGGCACCATTGACGGTGACGGGGGTGGCGGTAGCAGTGGCAGTAGAGGTGCCGTTGCGGGTGGTGGTGGCGCTCGTGACAACAGCAGTGCGAGTGGTGCCAGCGGCGGCGGACGAGGCAGCGCTCGTGACGGCGCGGGAAGCACTTGAAGCGACGGAGGAGGCGGCGGAAGCGGCCTTGCTGGTGGCAGCAGAGGCAATGGAGGAGACGGCAGCAGAGGCCGACTGAACGACGGAAGATGCAGCAGCAGAGGCCGAAGCGACGACCGAGGAAGCAGCGGAGGCGGGGCCACCACCTCCAGCGACGGCGGCGCAGATCTTGCCAGCGGCGGGGAGGACCTGGTCTTGAGGGACAGAGTTAGGATCATGTTGAGTAAGACGAGGGCTTTGGTTATGAACTTACTGACGGCAACGTCGGCACCGCAGCTAGCGAGGACGCAGGGAGTACCGGCGGTGACGATGGCCTGGTAGTTGGCAGCGCTGCAGAGGCAGGAGATGTCACCAACAGTGCACTTTCCGGTGGAAGTGACGGCGTCGGCCAAGCACTTCTGGGCACAAGTAGGGACATCGGCCAGGGATTGGGAGGCGGCCAGGCCAGCGAAGGCGATGATGGCAGCGGTGAACTTCATGTTGACGGTTGAGGTGATGCCGAGTGACTTGACTAGGAGTTGAGTGACTAGAACAACAACGAAGGTGTTGGGTATACCTGGTGAAGCGAGAGTTGAATGAGCTGATGGGAGAGAGGTAACCCGGGTTTCGACAAGGTGGAAACACCTGCTTCTCATATACACCCCGGACCAGCTGCCTTTAGGTCACCGAAATAAGCATCTGCGGGGGGTTACACCCGATCTATTCCTAGCTCGGGCCAGAACAGCTTTGTCTAGGTTTGAGTGAGATGTTCCCGTAAGTATCTAGTTTCCGGGCTGGAGGAGGAGCTCTGGAATGTTGCGGTTCAGCGTTTGCAGCCACGCACGTTCCCACATCCGTCCTTGAGACACACGAGACCAATCGGAGCTTCCAATTCGTCTTCTCCAGCTCCTAGGTTCCTGTGGCGTCTAGACTAGACCGCAGCTTGTTGAGAGGTGTGCCTGACCGGGCTCAAGCCGGATTCAGCAGCTCATAGTGGCGCCGAGGGCATCCACTTGCTTTGGTGTTGAGCGACACGGCGGGAATCCATGGCTTTCTTGGGAATTCTTTGCCTCTTGCGTCTCGGTTGGAGTGAGAGTAAGTAACACAGACTACTACCGAGGAGAGCTTTCCTCGGTGCTGCGTCATTGATCTACCTCGAGAGGTCTTGAGCCCGATGAAAAGATGAGGAGGTTATGACCTCACAAGAGCTCGAAAAAACCAATACGAATATTGGCGGAGCAAACTTCATGGCGTTCACTTCATTACCTAAGGTAGTCGGCTCCCCTCAAAGTTACCCACAAGGTGGTGGACTGGATAAGTAAGACAATAATAAAAGCTTAACATTCTGGATCCCGCGGGGAAAAGAGAGAAACATACAGGGATGAAAATTTTGCAAGCCATCTGATGAGTCTTAATAGAAAGGTATTCTGTCTGGCATCGATCGTATCGAGAAAGTGGGAGAGGAGACCTTCTCGTCGAGCCGAGGATGTGGTAAACTTGTCAGAACACCAAATACGCTTATCGTGAACTATTGGAGCTGAATCTCCACGAGGTCTGGCGTCGGCCAATCGGTTGGCGTCTCTCTTAGCGGGCATGGCCTGAGTCGACTAAGCGCGCTGACGGAGGCAAAGGCTCGCGCTGCCAGCTCCAACAAGTCGGTTCATATTGACTAAGAATTAGTTGTTGCTCTAATATCTCCGGAGGAGCCACGTTGTTGAGCTAGTCGATGGCACCTCCGAGGACGTGATGGGCCGTGGCAATCTGACAGGTCGGGGGGCTGGGAGCTACGACACGAGCACGGCGTCAGGGGGATCCAATAGATGGCAATAATGATTACCTGATAACCTACGATGGCGCTATCTAAATACAAGACCAAGTAACTAGCTATACGACACAAGAAGTCTACAAGATGCATGCTGTTTCGCGCCCTTGAGGGCACACCGTCTTCCAGAATCCGCCCATGCGATCCGTTACATGTCTAGTCCGTTCCGTATCCATGCCCATTCCAAATTCCACAGTGACAAAGGAGAAAGAGTAGAAGTTTCAATGAAAGACCCAAGCGACGAATCAATCCATCGCATGCTATGTTGCCCCAACACGAACACAGAAAAGGAGAAGAAAGAAAACACAAAGGAAACGCTATACTCGTGCTACCCGTCCGTCCGTCCGTCCTTCGCCACGCTAAACACCTCGTCATTCCCTCGCTATTCCCATGCCCATAATCTCAAAACAAGTCGTGAGGATTTAGTCGCTCTTGTCGCCCTCGGAGTGAGAGTGCTGAGAGGACGATCTCTTCATACCCCGTAGATCGCATCTTCGTATGATTTGACTAAATATGATGGTCAGCATAGTGTTTCAGAACATAGAACGTTGAAAGGTGATGGGTTAGACTCACATCCCGCCTCGCTCGTTGGGGTTGCGTACAACCACCAACTGCTCCTTCTTCTTATCATCATTCTTCTTCGTCTTCGTCGACGGCGCCCTCGCGTGGGACGACTCCCGAGAGCGCGACTGCACAGAAGGCGTAGACAGACGTCCCCGCAGCTGGCCAATCTGGTCCTTGAGGCTGTTGACCTCGGCGACCGAGGCGTCGTAGGAAGCGCGCATGCCGTCGAGCTGGGCATTGACGAGAGACAGCTGCGACGTCAAGGTTGCGTTCTCCTGGCGCAGCGCAGGCGCCATGACGGCTTCCGTCTCCAGTCTTGCGACGCGGGTGACGAGATCGTCACGCTCGGCGGTGAGGGAGCCGAGCTTGACTGTCTCGGACTGGAGCTGGTCGTTGCGGTCCGTGAGCTCGGCGATACGGTTGCGGAGCTCCTCCATGACAGCGGGCTCAGAGGGCGTGATGGACTTGGCGGAGACGGACTCGGCCGCGACGGGAGCTGCCTCCGGCTCCGGAGCTGGGGCGAGCTCGGGCTCGGGGATGGCCTTGGAGAGCTCAGAGGGTGCCGCTGAGGTGACGCTGGCGGCGTCATCTTTGACTTCTTCTGGTGCAGGTGCCGGTGCTTCTTCGACAACCTCAGCCTCCTCGATGACTTCGATGACGGGGACCGCTGGAGGCTCCTCCGCTGGGGGTGCGGGGGGTGCTTCCTCAGGCACCGGAGGAGCTGGAGGAGCCTCTTCGGGAGCGGGAGGGGCCTCATCATCCTCACCCTTGACAGTGTCCGTATCGCTGTCATCCGCGGAGCCGATGACGGACGGGGCGGCGGAACCGATGATCGAAGGTGCAAGTGAACCGGGGAGAGAGCCGGCGATAGATCCCATGAGTGACTCGGCGCGCCGGAGCTCGCTGGTGACAGACTCGTTCTCGTCCTTGAGCGACTCATTCTCCGAGCGAAGGATGTCGCGCTCTTCTGCGAGACTAGAGATCTGAGACATCTTGTCGTCCTGGTCCTTGAGAAGCTCGCCGACCTGCCCCTGGAGTGTCGTGTTCTTGCCCTTGAGCCCCTCGATACGGGTTCTGAGCTTGTCGTACTTGGTCTTGAACCCCTCGAGGCCCTTCACCTGGGTCTCGAGCTCACCCTTGCTGAGCTCAAGCTCGCCCTTGGTGGCCTCGAGGCTCTCGAAACGGGTCTGGATGTCGGTGTTGGTAGTCTCGAGCTGGGTGAGACGGACCTCGACCTCTTGCTTTTCACCTTCAAGGGTGCCAAAGCGGGTCTGGATGTCGTTCTTTTCGGTGTTTAGCTTCTCCATGTCGGCTTCGAGGCCCTTCTTCTCGGCCTCGAGGGCATCAAAGCTGGCCTGGGCGTCCTTTTTCTCCGTCTCGAGCTTCTCAATGTTTGCCTCGAGACCCTTCTTCTGTTGGTCGAGGTCGTCGATGCGTGCCTCCAGACCCTTCTTGGCCTCTATCAAGGCGCCGTTTTCCCGGTTGAGTTCGTCGACTTGGGGCTTGTATTTGTCGACTTCCATTCGGAGAAGGTCACGCTCGGCGGTGATGTCGCCGATCTCAGTGCCCTTGCGGATGAGGTCCGTCTCAAGTCCGGTGACACGGATCTCCATGGTGTTCTTGATCATCTCGAGAGCGGCAATCCTCTTGATGAGGGACTTTTCAGTCTCCTTGGTGACGAAGTGAGCATCGCCGACGCTCCTCTCAAGGTCGTGACACTGTGCCTCAAATTTCTTGGTGAGCTTCTCCTGCTCGGCAAGAAGCTTCTCTTGCTCAATGAGATCCTTCTCAAGCACTGCATTCTTAGTGGCAACCTCTGTCTTGGCGTCTCTCTCTTGCTCGATCTCCCTCTCGAGCTTGACGGCGTTTACTTCCAGTTGTTCCTTGATGCCCTTGAGCTGATCTCGTTCACGCTCAACATCATCGAGCCTCTTCTCATGTTCACCAAGGGCACTCCTCACGTCATCGAGGAGGCGGCTCTGCTCATCATAGTCGCGAGTTATCTGGTCCTTGAGGGTCCTTTCTTCACGGTGTCGCTTCTCAGTCTTCTCCTTGGCGGCTGAGAGTACCGAAATTTGGTCGAGGGCATCTCCGAGTCTTCTGTCTGTGTCGGTCTGCCTGGTCACAAGGCTCATGGCCTCCTCCCTCATGCGCGCGATCTGCTTGTTGAGCTCATCTTGAACCTTCTCACGCTCGATGAGGTCATGTGAGGTAATGTGTTGGACCACGGGAGGGGCAGGGGCTACGGGGGCGACCTCGATGTGGATAGTTTGTCTCTTGGGCGCGACGACGTCGACGCGGGTACCCTTGAGGTTGGCGGGCTTGGCTGGTGCAGGAGGGACGGTGTTGGTCCTGACGACCTGCTTTTCGGTGGTGAATGGCCGAGTCCGAATGGCTTGGGTATATGAGTCGGACTTGGAGGAGTGAGAGTCAGAGTCATCCACGCTCGTCGCGGTTGTGAGCGATGAGCGAGAGTCGAAGCTGTACTTGGACTCGACATCCGAGTCATTGGTTTCATCGGCTGTGGTGTAAAGGTTCTCTGTAGACCGCCTCCATGGGCGGCTAATTTCTGGGCGGAGCTCAGGGCGAGAAGGACGGGTGCGAAGCATGGGGGGTTTGAACTTCAAGGGAGGCTTTGCGGCGCCGTTCTTGTTCCTCCAGTTTCCGGCTGAGCTGACGCTCAAGTCGGATCCGCTGTCGTTTACCGAACGATCCATGGGGCCAACTGGGATCTCGGAGACGTTGGCGTTGGAGAGATCAAGTCTCTCAAGAGGAGTGTTGTCTGGGATGGAGACTGAGGGCCGCCTGAGTCTGGCGAAGCGACCGCGGCCCTTCGCGGGCACCGGATCACGGGTAGGAGCCATGAGGACGGTGAAAAAGATGTGTGAAATGGAGATTCGCTCAGGAGCCAAGTAGCTCTGGTAAATGGTAATGTTATTCTTTTCTTTGGGAGTTCTCAAGTTATGTGCCAAGCTGGACGTCTGATCTGGGGCTGGTGGACTCTGCGAGTGACATTGAAAGTGTATTGGTAAGTTGATGAGGGGTAAAGTTGCATATCGGGTCTGCTCGGATCTACAATCAAAGAATGATGAGATCGGAAGAGGAAGTCTGGATGTGGAGGCAAGTTGGTTTTGTTTAGAATATCCAGAGTATAGTGTTGTGGGAGGGAAGAAGGGGGAAAAAGGGAGGCGGAGGGCGATCTACGTACAGGAGCCCAACCGGCAGAAAATGATATTCGATACTGCCCGCCTTCATCCGTGGCCTCACACCAGCGCGCCTACCCCCGTCCAATAGGGCACATACGTCAAAAAACAAGTTCGGGGGCCCCTCGACTTTTCGTCCGCGAGCGACGGGACACGGGATGGTCGAGCCAGACGAGCCAGTGTCAGGGATGAGGCGTGGCTCCAGAGCGGGACTCCCAACTGGCCCTCCACGGAACCGTTTGGCGGGATGCCCAGCTTACATCCGGGACACAAAGTAGCGTTGAATATTGCAAACGCAACGTCGTCACTCCGTCGCCCTTCGGGCAGAGAGGGCTCGGGTGATTGGGCCATGCCGCTGTCAGGAGGAGCAAACCCTGCTTTCCCTAGTCCATCGGCCGTGTCTACGGTCCACGGTGTACACCCCCATGGGTTCCTAAATCCCCCCTTGTCTAGACTCCATCAACGCTTCCCGCCTGCCGGGGACTAAAAAACGGGAGACTGGGGGGTGCCACCATCCATCAGCTTGGGCGAATGGGTTCGGGTTATGAGAAGGACTGAATCTAAGAATACACCTTTGCAATATCCCCAAGTGGCGAAGAACATGTGTAAGTCTCCCGTTGCTGAACGGATTTGAATCTCTCTTGACACTGCGGTCGAACTTTGAGGCCAACTGCTTCCGTTGGACCTCTGCTATGTTTGGCGGCATATTCGTACTTTCACCCCCTCACTATTGGAAAAAGTCCCGCCAACGACTTGACGGCGGTTGTTTATTCTCATGTCCATTCTCATGCTTTAGCTTGCTCTGTCGAGGGCCAAACAGGATTGAAGCCCTATTTCGCAGGGGCCGAACGGGCCACCAAAGGCAGAAGAAAACGAATCAGGGAGTCTATTGAAGGCTGGGATGAGTCAGGAATTTTGGGGAAAAGACATGGGCTTCACAACCAGTCGATTTGAGCAGGGCAAACAGGCGGAAATGAATTCGAATGGCAGCCGTCTAATTTCTCTTTCTCTCCCCGTTTGTGCGCATGGTGTTGTGGGTTGGGCATCGTTCACTTTGCTTTACTTGGGCTAGGCCGAGACAGTTGGGACGCAACAAACGTGGGATGGAGCCACTAGAAGACTGCACGTTCCCGGAGCCGACAGGGGACCATGACTTGGACGTGGTGTTGTTTGATTCGTCCGCTTTGCGGGCCGAGCCATGTCGTCGAGTCCGGACCCTGGCCGGCTTGTTGCCGGCCTCCCACTTCATTGTAGACAGGCTTAACAGAGGTCTGCTCATCTATTCAGCCTCCACGAGTGTGAGGCATCATGGAGGTTGGGAAAGTGAACTGAAAAGATGGCTGATATCAGGCAGGATGTCTTCGCCCGGGCGCGTGGCTTATATGGTGGCAACAGCCTGAACAACGTGATCGTCTCCTGATGTCTGGCTTATCAGATGGAGGAGCACTCAAAGTGGGCGGCGATAAACTCGTCCCGCTCTCGACATTCGGGGGCTCAAATATCCACGAGCCCCTCATCAGTCTCCATTGGCCGACGGCCGATTCAGGTGGCGACGTGTCTCGTGCAATAAGTAACGTGGACCTCGTCAGGCGATGCCCATAGGAAATCTGGATTCTGGAACCCTTGGGGAATACAGATGGAACCTCCGGATTCTGGGTGGAGACGCGTCCGTCGCTGTTCGCGCATACTCCGTATACCCTGGACAATAACGGGGAACCCATCTCCCAATCCCCTGGGTCAGTCAACGACACGGAATAGACATAGAATGATGCCAGCTACGTATCTAAACTTTGAGAGGCATGTTTGCACCTAGAGCTCAACTCACTTCCTCCAGCTTGTTGCCGGACCGACGAGGTGACAGTCTCTCCCAATACGATCTGGAAAGGGAAAGAGGCTACTGCAGCTGGGAAATGAAGACGTGATAATAATTGCAGTAACCACGGTGCTGAGCTTCACTGCAATCAATTGTAGGTACCAAAAGCAACACACTGCAGATACCCCCTCACCTGAGACTGCAAAGGGCGCTTTACTGCGGCTGGCGTGGCGAGGCGGTCGAGAGGTCTGCAACGTCCCCGGGCCCTTGGTCACCGTTCCTCGAGTGAGGCTGTTTTGCGATGGTTGCTGGTGTGACGACCCGTGGGTAGCATGCATATGCTCGGTGACGTACCCACATAGATTTACTTACCCCTTGCGTCTTTCAGACTACATACACAGCAAAACGATTTTCATAGGTATTCTAACTGTTTGGTCTGTAAGTCAACGCTCAACAGAGATCCTATGCGTCAACCAGTATTACACTACGAGGAAGTTTCCTTCTGTTAAGAGCAGCAATAAATCAAAATGCAGTAACAAAGTTACTCGTAGTTCATTCAGCATGCACATAATCAACGTGGCCTCCCATGATCTCCACTGGCAATTATCTCGAGGGCAGCATCTGAGTCCGCTGAGTGGGCATAGGGACTTCTTGTAAGGCTTACAGCGTCAAAAGCATGTCGACAATTACGGGATATAGCTGCAGCATCGGCAAGGCAAAATTATTGAGACCAAAGGACAATAAAGCCAAAAGTCACTCACAGCAACTGACAAGTGGCCACATGGACACCCAATAGATGTTAATACTCCATAACCGCTTGATGACAGCCCACTTAATACAGCACATCCCTTTCCCCGCTGCTTGCGGGGTCGAGTTGAACTCAACTTCTTTGGACGGAAGTCTGGAGCTGCCAAGCTACCGTGCTACCGTCTGTGCCACCCCTCGGCGCTCGCCATTGAATCCAGTGCTGCGTAGCATATATGGGAGAAACATAAACAAACAGACTCAAGTCGCACTATTACACTTGTTCTTGCCTTGGGAAGAAGTATCAACAGCGACGGTGCGGACATATTGGCAGTGTGCGGGTGCGAAATCAATTGACTCAGTGTTCATCCGGGGTAATTCTCGCCCATTAAATCTTCTTGTCACAAAAGTAAGGCCAGAGAGAGAAAAGCATATCTTCAGGTCACGCGCACGAATTGACATCGTTCCCAGGCCATGGAAGGGTTCGTATTTCCGCAAGCCAGAATAGTATGATGAACCCGAAGACGATTACCAGTTCATACGATGACAGCCAGCCGAGTTGGCGTAGGGTGAGGATTCGACGGGCAGCCATTGAGCATGTGTCAAGTTTTAGTAGGATGCTTCAGCTATGAAGTTTCCCAAAACCGCCGGGACGGATTGCAAGTTGCGGGGTCCTTCCGGTTTCGATACCTACTGATAGTTGACCACTTTCGATGAGCCTCCATGTTCTGTGATTATACGAGCCCAAAGTTCAAGGGTCCTTTAAGAATTGAAAATTCTCTCATACTTCTCGAAGCAACTGCCCATGTCGAGAAACGTCCGCTCGGTTTCGGCATGGATCCTAGCATGGTTGACCATGACTGAAGGTTGCATGTGTCCTGAGACCACGGGATCCAATTGTCACTTCAGGATTCGAGACGAATTTTGAGTATCGAGAGAGCGTTACGTCTGACTGCCCAATTCATCCACGTGTCGCGAAGCGAAGCTGGGATTGCTTGGTGAAAGACCGCCGCCTGCTTCGGTGCCCAGCTACCCCGCGAACCCTGGCCCTGGCGTATCCTGCCCGCTTGATAGCAAAGCGTTCAAAAGTCTTTGAGTCAGTCTCGAGACATCACACCCTATCGAGTCGCGTGGCATTCATCATAAGTATCTGAGAGGGCTGGTAGCAGCGACTTCGTCGCAGGACCTGGATATGCTCCCATCCTGCCAGGAAGGAGACGTAACGCAGCATTTTCTTTCACGAGTCAACTCCAAACGAGCCAACCCTGAGATCAGACTGGGCAATTGGAAGGAAGGATTTGGATTCCTCGCTGATTAATCAAAGTCAGGTACTTATCTGTGTGATGGGCTAGTGTATCGAAGACGCCTCAAAAACGCGCCACTTCGTAGAGGGCACGGCTCAAAGTAACATTTTTGCCGTCTAATTTCTCCGCTGATGAGGCTCAGATAGCTTTGTTATCCGTCAGCAGGTCTTGAGGATTGCAACTACCGAGGAAGCTTGATGATCGGGTGAGAGGAAGCTTCCTCCGTCCATCGAAAACACACTTCTTCTATGCATAAATCTCTCCGGAGTGCGGGCGTCATAGCTGCCGATTGTTCCAAGAGCCAATCAATGATTCACGTCTTGGTGAAGCTATCAGAGTTTGACAATCAGGACATGGTCAAGGCTCACTACTCCCAAAGGTCTGGGCTCGACTATAGTTTCTCCCTGGGGGGACACTATCACAAGCACAAATGTCTAACGTTCTGTGGCAACTATATACGAGAGGCTTCCCTCAAGTGACATCTCCGCGGAGACCGGTTTCTGCAGACCACGAAACTTGGTTGCGCTGCCAGCTGTCTTATGTCGAGTTGGAGACAACCTCAGCAGCGCCCTTCCGGATAACAAGGTGATCAGCTACGGGACGACTATGTCTTGCCCCGCACCGAGCCGACCTCGCCGACCTTTCCCACCGGCTTACCCACATTTCCCGGTCGCCGATGCGAGATGTCTGACAAGGAGGGGGCGGGCCCCCCGCCGAAAGGCGTAGTGCCCGACTTTCAGCACCCGCAGGACGTATTGCATACCATCAATCTTGTGTCGCAGATTCTCTCCATCGTGTCTGTCAGTATCTTCATGATGCTGCGTATTTATGCCAAAACCCTCATCGCGCCGCCGTTCTACTTGGATGATTGTAAGACTCTGTCACTGGGACTTCGCTCCTGGTCTCTGTGCTTTAGAATTGAAAGCTGATCATTACAGGGATGGCAGTTGTCGCCTGGGTAAGCCCCTTAGATGAGTGGCCGAATCGGTTACCTCCATAGCGTCCAAGCGTGACCTGACAGATGAGTAGATACTATCGGTCGGCTACAGTTCGACGGCACTCGTGAGTAAGTAACAAAGGGCTATTGAGGCAATTACACGGCGGCTGATCATATCTCAGTGCATCGCTACGGGGGTGGTTTCCACATTTATGAGATTTCCAAGGACAATTTCGTTGGGTTCTTGAAGGTGACTGCTCCTCAACCATGCGGACATCAGTTGACTTGACCGCTAATACCGCCACAGGGTCTGTACGCGGACACACTTGTCTACGGCCCAAACTCGTATTTCACAAAACTCGCGCTGCTACTCATCGTGATCAGAGTCTTCAGGCTGAACAAGAAGACCATCATTGGTACATATGCTGTCATAACGTTCATGACTGGATACTATGTGCCGGTCCTCTTTCTCAAGGTGTTCATTTGCCACCCGATCGCGGGTTACTGGGACTCGACTCTCAACGCCACCTGCTTCAATCAACGAGCCATCTTCGTAGCCGATACTGCCGTCAGTGCCATCACGGACACGGCCGTCTTATGTCTGCCGATACCCGTGGCTTTGAGCCTGCGAATGTCTTGGACAAAGCGACTGAAAGTGATTCTCATGCTCAGCGCAGGGGGCGTCGCCACAGCAGCAAGCATTGTTCGGATGATTCTAGTAATTCAGCTACAAAAGTCGGATGATGAGCCGGTCGACTTTATTCGTTTCAATCTACTCGGGTCAGTCCTCATACTTACTTAATTCTTGGGTTGAACCAGACGCTGACTCTGAAACTCTACTAGGACTGCGGAAGTGAGCATCGGCATGATCTGCGCCTGTCTTCCAGCAATCAATATCCTGTTCATGCGCGGATTCAATGGTTCGCCACAATCAAGTTGCAACACCGGCCAGAGCAGCAAAAAGTACTTTGAACTCAAATTTCTCATGGGCAGCAAGCTACAAACGCAAAATTTGACGGCAGTAAATACCACCGGGGTAACCGGGCCTGTGCTTGTAAGCACTAATTCAGAGAGCGTGGTGCATGAACATAGGGATTCGATCTTCCCGATAGAAAGAATGAGTCGAGTAACCTCGTTCAGGCCAGAAGATGTGGAAAGAGGCATCTGGTCGGATGAATGGTACTCCCAAGTCACAGCGTCGCCTTTTTCACAGCCTGGATCTCCGGATTGGGCTCGAAAGGGTTCCGTGGGTTTCATGGAGACAATAACAGAGTTAGGCTAAAGCCCACACCCTGCTGCATTGAGGGCGTATTTAGAGTATCAACATATCATTGGGTTTATATCGTTCTAAGTTGCCTAGCAAAGAAATAGGTACTAGCTAGGAGCGAGTTTGTGGTTGCGAGATACTGCAGAGCAGGTGGATTAGACCAACACCACCAATGAAGTGGGAGACGGGGAAAACGTTTCGTTATGTCTATATTATACGAGAAGAAAGAAAGTCCAATGCAGGGTCCTTAACAAAATCAAGCTGTCATCTTGCTAATTGGGAGCGCGATGAGTGTCGTCACTTTCCCCTGCCAGTCCGTCAGCTTGTCGGTCATTTCCTTGACGACTACTGGTGAGTACGTTGTCGCGGCAGCAGTCGATTTCCAGAACGTGAGCTCGCTCTTAACATAGCTCTCAAACAGTGTCCGAGCGGATGAGACTTGACTCTCAAGATTGGCGGGAACAATCTGCTTCCACGCGGACGCAAAGTCGTAGCTGACGCCCTTGCTGAGAGCATATCGACCGAAGTCGCCCCAGAGGGTGGCCAGTGAAGCGTATGTTTTTTGGTATGAGGTAATGACGCTTACTTCACCTCGATACGCAAAGGTGTCAATCACATCAGACAAGATGGCGATGCGGCCTGTGGGGCTGTAGTTCTTCCACGTTGCTTGGCTCATGAAGTCACTCCCGGCGACGATGAACTCTTTGTAGCGGTTGAAGTCGGCGTCACAGACTTGCAAGTTGACGACGTTTGCGTTATTGAGACCTGCATCCGACGTCCGACCAAGAAGACCTGTGAAAGCGTCGTTGATGTTGCCCGCCCAATCTCGAACAATGGTGAGGGTGGTATACGTCTTCGAAGGCCAGGTATCTTGGAACAGCTACACAGTTGACTGTTAGCTGAAACACCAAATTCATTGTCAAAAGTTTCAGAAGGTAAACCTACGCCATTGAGGTCGAAGACTCCAGTAAAGGGGGCTTTCCCGGCTGTGAGAGCAACACCCTTCGGTGTATTACCATCCATCATCCACTCAACTGCGTCACGGAACTCCTGCTTTTCGAAAACATGCTCCGTAACCCAGTTAGTATTCGGATCAAGATTTGTCAGAGCTGTGATTCCAACGGCGGCACAGACACCCTGCTTAGCCACAGTGAAAGCCTTCCCAGTAGTGCGAATGATGCTGGTCGCACCGGGGTAGTTCTGAGTGTAGATGCTGCTGCTCTGCTTGCCGGGTGCACACAATTTCATAGCAACGTCCCTGGCACCGCGCTTCTCCAACGACCTTCCAAAGAGATCCGAAGTATCCATACCAGCGAGCACCGGATGCTCTGCTTCCTCCGAGCTCGTGCCATTGCTGTCAAATCCCTTCTGATGCGGACGAGCAGCTCGGATCATGTGTCGCCTCTTGTTAGTCGGCGGCAGTATGCAGTTATCATCAAAGACATCGCCTTCTTTGAACACGTTCTTGGGGCTCGAGCCTCCTTCTGGGACCGTGGACAAGTCCGGCAAGTTTGCTGGGCTGGGACAAAGACTGATCTCCGGCAACTTGGGCTCGACAGGCGTGTTCGGGTTACCACAGCAGAAATAAGAGTATGTCCCAGAGCGACAGCCAAAGCCATCAGTTGCGACAGTCACTTCTCCACTCTCACAGCCGGTCTTGCAGTCTGTTGAAAAGTCGAAAAAGAGGTTGGCGAGGGGGCCGGACAGTATCTGCTTCCATTGAACCCAGGCAGTGTTTCCGTATCGCCTACAGGGCAGTCAGTCAAAGCTTCTGGCAGGGTGTCGTCGAAGAGTACTTGCCATTTGCATTCTTTCCAAGGCACGGGATCTTTGCAGCAGTAGCTCTTGAAGCCTCCGTTATAGGCACACGTCTGCTGGCCACCCTCTCCTTGCTTCCCAGTGGTAAGCTCTTTCGGCTTGTCTTTGTTGGGACAGCCGTACGAAAGGAAGGAGAATGCTCCAGCAACAGGTGTTGTGCCGAGTCCAAGGATGGATCCGAAAGTCGCGCCAGCTGAGCAAAACGGGGCAGCACCAAGCCACTCGCAAGAGTCAAGAGTACTTGTTGAATCAGTCTTGGTGCAACACAAAGACTTGTGTCCAGTCCAGCATCCGTCTGTGCTGGCAGCAATCTCGATCTCCTTGCCACTGCATCGGTTCTTCGCGAGCGCGCCACAGAACTTGGGACTTCCCTTCCACTTACAGGTTGGAGGGTTCTTCGATGGGCAGCAGAAGTTGCGCTTTCCCTGGTTGCATCCAAGCTCGATGCCAAGTGGACTTGCGTTGCTCCCAGAACTCTCGACCGGAACGAGACCAGATGGGCACGATGCACCGCACTCGCCCCAGACACATTGGCTGGGGTCGCTGCTGACTGCTTTGGCGAAGAGAGATTTCGACAAGTCGGTTCGGCCTGAAGCTTTCGCCAGAGCCTTGATTGCAGTCCCCTTGGCGTCGTCTGTTGATGCAGCCCAGACCATGACGCCTCCAAGACATTTGCCGTTGGCGTAGTCCATCTTCAACTTGAGCGTCTCTTCATCGTCGTAAGACACCCACTGATTACCGCCCCAAGTGACAATTTTGACGGCTGCTGTTTTGTCTGTTGTCACTTGAGCTCCGCCTTTATCGATAATCTCCTGGATCTCAGAGAACATCAGTGTTCCAGCAGACGCGGAACATCTGCCTGGGATACCACCGGCGCTGAAGCCACAACCGGCGGACTTGCAGCTTGGGTTCGAGAGAGTAAAGCTACGCCCGTAGAATCCCATGCCCATAACGACCTTCTTGGGGTCGATGTCGTTCCGCCACAGAAGCTCGAGGGCACGGTCAATTTCTGTCAAGTTTGTGTGGCTGTTGACGTACGGTCCCAGATAAGGGTTCGTGCCATCCCAGGTGCCGTGTAAGTCGTAGCTCATCATGTTAAACCAGTCCAAGTATGGCTGAATGTTCTTGAGATCGAAGTGTTGGAGATACCAATATGATGCTGGGAGCGTGATAGTGAGGCCCTTAGTTCCCAGTGCCGCGCGCAGATTCTTGAGAAAAGTGACCAGGTTCTTGTAATCTGCAGGAGTGCCAGAGCGTTCCTCGGCCACGGGATATTCCCAGTCGATGTCGACACCATCGAAGCCATATTTACTAGCGACGGTCTCTTGTTAGGTAAAATTCGTTGAGATAGAATGCTCGACAGCTACTCACTTTATAAAAGACAGGAGAGATGAGAAGAAGACGTCTTGCTTCGCTTTTGATGCTGCCAGTTCAGAAAACGTGCGCTTGGTCGGCTGATCAGGGTCGTTCATGCTCCAACCCCCGATGGCAATCTAGTTTGCAAACTTGAGTGATGAGCTCTTCTACACAGAGGTTGATATTGGAAGCTCACCCAGACTTCCATCCCAGGGTTGTAGTTCTTCAGTGCTGTGAGTCGTGGCATGAACTTCGAGTCGGAGTCTTGCATATTCGCAATCTTATATGATGTCGGGTCAATGAAGGCGAACGCGTAGTTGAGATGAGTGTAAGCGGTGTAGAGTAAGTCCTCAGGGTTCACTGACGAATCGTCAGTAAATGATCTCCTATTTATCGTGCAAAAATTACTCGTAGAGGCAATCACAGAATTACTCCAAGAGGTAATTACCGTAAAGGGTGATTCGTCTTGAAAGTGAATTACTCTTGAGGACAATTCATTTACAAAAAATCGATTGCTTCAAATGATGATTGCCTTGAATGGTGACTTGAACTTACGTCCATTACAGGCCTTTGTTGTTGACCACCCTTCATAGTAGCCGATCACTCGCTTGCCTGCAGAAGAGCCACCAGGGCAACTTGGTGCCTTGACCTTCTTGTCGCCGCAGAACTCTTTGGTAGTTCCGCAAAAGCCAAACTTGGAGCAGCATACGTTCAGAGGGCACTTCTCTCTCTGGCTCCAAGCGGATCCCCAGCCTGGGTCACATTCACTCTTGGCGCTGCAACTGGAAGTGCAATTCGCGGGTGCGCAATAGCTAGGCCCAAGGCCACAGACCTAGTCTTCCGGTCAATCATTGGAATTTTCTCTGAACTTGGGATTCTAGGATTTACAATTTACTCACATTATTCTTACCACAGCAACCAAGTTTGCATGGCCTAGTGGAGGAACAGCTGTAGTCTTGCTGGGCTATCACTCCCGATGCAACGAGTAGGAGACAGAACACCGGCACAGCCGTTTTGAAGAGCTTCATTCTTGCAACTGCGTCCATGAACTTTCAGTGTGAGTGATTTCAACTTGGAATGCCTCCTGTTCCCGAGATAAACTCATTCTTTTGTTTCTTCGTGGAAACCTAAGGAAAGGACTGTCAGCATCGGCCGGCTCGGATTCAAGGGGGTTCCAGGTTTGATCACATGGTGACTAGAGACAAGTCGTATCACATTCGACATGTGTAGGATTTTGTGGAAGTGACGATCGACCCAGACCTCAATCAACCTGCAACCTCCCCTCTTTGAGATGATTTGGGGCGGTCAATCAAGACATAGGTAATTGCTGGTATCGTGGCAAGCGTGAATCGTTCTCATCGTATTCCGTACTTTCTAACAGCTTCTGACTGGGTCTAAACTAGTAGATTACAATCTTAAAATGACTTTGCCATCGGCACAAATCACCTGATGTCCAAGTTGACAACGCTGATTTGGCGCCACAAGTGTGATGGAGTAAGGGGTCACTTGGGCTAAGGTGCTTCACGGTGTCGTGTTTCTATCGCCCTGCGTATCCGTTTACTACCTGGGTATACATCACATGCACCATTTAGTAACAGTGAGACAGTTCTCTCCAGTCGATCAACTACCCAGGGTGGTATTTTTTGTGCAACATGTCGACTTAACTGAGGTGGTAAGCTTATGCATATCAGATTGACTCAAACGGTTGTACCTCGGGAAGCAAAGACAAAGTTGAGACAGCGATCAGCGTTTGACTCTTTTTACAGTTTCTTGGCCATATGTCAGCCCATGTCTTACTTAATATGACAGAACCAGACCAAGAGCCCGGGCAGTATGGGGTTGTGGATATGCGAAGTCGGATGCCCCGAAGAAACACCCGAAATGACCACTAGGTAAGGTAGTCCATACTTACTTAGAACGAGGTTTCCTGTCCCGGTCATCTTGAGGTTTTTAGATGAAATTTGCAGTTCGGAAAAACCAGCTTACTCACAAAATCTTAGTGGAACTCAAAATGAAGTCGACACTGCCTTTGATCCTGACTGTTTCCTTTTGGCCTTTGGCCATATTTGCTGACCCAAGTGTGAGTTCTCGCGGGCTGGTCTGGAGATATCAGAGAGTAGTATGCCGAATGCAAACTTTCAACTAATATTTTAGTTCTTTTTCTTCACCAACCAATCTGGCACCGTTTTCGATGGTATCTCGTCCGGATGCAACTTGGCGCTATCAGCCCCTGTCCCAGAATGCCCCCGAGAACTCTTGAACCTCCTCGGAGGTGGCAGCTATCACACGGTACTCAATGAGACTGTCATGGGCGTTCTTTGCAGAACTGAGTGTTCGCCAGCATTGGCGACGTACAGGAGCAATGTCGTCTCTCAGTGCGCCAAAGACCCTCAACCCAGAAGTGGCTATCCGTCAACCTACTGGGTTGACTCTGTCACTGCTGTCCGGACGCAGATGTGTCTGAAAGACTCCAAGACTGGAGAGTACTGCACTCGTTAGTAAAGTCCTCTTGTGAAGCGCCCCTAGTCCATGGTCTAATATGCACGGAAGAGTATCTCGAGCGAGTTCTCGGCGATGCTACGAGTCCAGCGGATCTGCTCGGTGGGTATTCCACTGCCCAGCTCTGCTCCGAGTGTCTGGTCAGCCTATTCCGCCATCAACAATCGACCCCGTACTCAAACTATGACCCCGAGATGGCTCAGGCGTGGGCGGCCATTCAGTCAAAGTGCAGTCTCAGTCTTCCAACGGCAACTCAGACACTGAAGACGAATGTGACATCGCTTGGGAATTATGCTCTGCCTGGTTATGCAACTGCAGTGTGTGTTGCAGGCCGCACGTACACGGTGGCTGCTGGTGACAACTGCATTAATATCTCAACGAAGAGTGGCGTTTCGACTGGCTCGTTGATCACGCTAAACAGCCTGCGGATGGACTGCACGAACATCTTTGCTGGTCAAGTAAGTTCTCGGGTTTACTCGCTCTGGTGATTGATGCTAGGGCTCGGGTTGACTGATGTCGGCGATATGTAGAGTCTCTGTCTCCCACCTACTTGCACTAGTTACGTGGTCCAAAGCGGCGACAACTGTTTGAAGGTCGCCACGCAGTTCAACACGACCTACCAGCAGGTCATCGCTTGGAATCCAAGTAAGTCCTTAACATGCTGTGGAAATAATGCCATTTCAATCAGCCCTTTCTGACCGGCAAACCAGCTGTTGATAGTTATTGTACCAACTTGATTGCCGGCCAGAACATCTGCGTTGGGCCGCCGGGCGGAGTTCTCAACTTCACTACAATCCCAGGCGCAACCGTAACTAAGACTGCGAACTATGCGACCGCTACGGCTGATAGACCAACACCTGTCGCGAGCGGAACCACAACTAAATGTGGCAAGTACTGGGAAACCAAATTCGACTTCTACTGTAGTATTGATCAGAGGATTGGGGAATTTTCGATATTTGATTGTGTGAAGAATCATTCGACGTTGTTGGGTTGAGCGCTGTCGAGAAGCTCCGAAACGCGCTACGTGGCACTAGCACGATCTACCGCGTGGCGTCTCTGCGCACGTCCCGACGCGATGGATCTCGAGCCAGATTCGACGTCCATCACCGTTGCGAGGGAGGCGGTGGCAGCGAGCGACGAGGACCTGCCATCACGAAGGGTGCGAAAGCCATCCGCGAAAGCCCAACTGAACCAGACTCATCAAGAGATAATCGACAATGCGACCGACGGAGCGACGGAGGTTGCTGGTGGTGGCCGGCGGACGACGACCAAGCGAGCCACAACCCTGGCCAAGGAACGCGCGAAACCCATAGAGGATGACGACAAAGGGCTGCTCCTGACGATGGGCAAGCAGGTCAAAGAGCTACACACAGCGGTCAAGATCATGTTCGATGCGTGGAAGAAGTCGGAAGCACGGAATAAAAACGTTGAGGCAGAGCTTCGCGTGGTCACTTCGGAGCTGCAAACAGTCAAGAGCGAGCTACAGGCCGTCAAAGGAGAGCTGCAAGCGATGAAAGAACGCGTGGAGGACGAAAGCGCCAAGACGAACGAAAACCTCGAAGCACTCGCAACAGTTGCTGCGACGCGGAACAGCCCAAGTGTGTCCTACGCGGACGTCGCGCGAAGCGGCTTAGGTGGGCAAGGTCGCGACTCGCGGGTAGCCACGGCGGGCAACGCGACGCTGCCGAGCCGCAGCGACCCCTTCTGTACGATCGATACATCAAGAGTTGAAGAAGGCAGCGACAAGCTCAACCCAGGCCGGATCCGGGCTGCGGTGGAAAAGGAGATGCGCGCGTTGGACGGACAGGGTAGCTGGCGGTGTCTGGCCGTCACGGTAGACCCAAGGAACGCGGATAGGATCCGGATCATTTGTCGCGACGATGCGGAGCATAGGTATGTCAAGCAGATCGCGGAGAAGAGCTTCGGCCGTGGAGCACGCGTGCTACGAGACGAACTCTATCCCGTGAAGATCGACAACGTGAAGCGAATTGAGGTACTGGATGAGAAGGGCAATGTCAGGGCTGAAGCGGCGGAGGCACTTAGCCGAGAAAACGAGACCACGGTTGCCAAGATTTCTTGGCTTAGCAAGAAAGAGATACCCAAGGCGTATGGGTCCATGGTCGTGTTCGTGACCAAGGCCGGTGATGCGCGTAGACTGATCTCCGAGGGCTTCTTCCACGTTGGAGGAGAGTCCGGCACGACGATGGCGTTTGAACGGCGGCCGCGCCCCCAGCAGTGCTACAACTGCCAGCAGATCACGAAGCACAAGGCGTACCAGTGCGTAAACCCCCGGGTGTGTGGACGATGCGCCAAGGTAGGCCACCACCACTCTGAATGCCGTGAGACGATCGTGACATGTGTGCCCTGTGGCGGACCGCACGAGTCGTTCAGCAAGAACTGTCCGAAGCTGTATCCGCGTTCCCATGAGTAGGAAGGTCCAGATCCTTCAGCTCAACGTGAGGAAACAGGCTGCAGTGCACGAAAGTCTGATGAATGATGAGGCGTTGCGCGACTTCACGGCCATAGCGGTGCAGGAGCCATGGGCGCGGAGGATAGAAGGTAAGGTCATTACGGTTCCGATGGGCAATAGCAGGTGGACGAGGATGGTACCAACGGAGTGGAGGGACGAAGGAAGATGGGGAATCAGGAGTTTGCTTTGGGTGAACAGAGACGTAGAGACAGAGCAGCTGCCGATAGCGTCCTCGGATATCACTGCGGCCATCGTCCGGCTTCCGGATCGAAGACTGATAGTGGCGTCGGTGTACGTGCCGGTGCAGAGGCCGGAGATGCTGCGGCAGGCGTGCGACCTGCTGAGACAAGCTATCACGAATGTCCGAGGAGGAACAGGGGAGAGGGTGGACGTGGTTCTGGTAGGAGACTTCAACTGCCACGACTACCTGTGGGGAGGTGACGATGTGTCGGAGGGCCGGCAGGGCGAGGCGGACCCGATCATCGATCTAATGAGCGAGTACTCGCTCCGCAGCCTCCTTCCGCGTGGCACGAAGACGTGGAGAAGAACGATGCGGCAACGACGATCGACCTATCCCTCGCGTCCGAAGAGCTAGCAAGAACGGTGGTACGATGCGGCCTGCACGAGACGGACCACGGGTCGGACCACCGGGCGATCGAGACGACCTTCGACATCGCCGCGCCTGAGATGGAAAGCCGGCCACGGCTCCTCCTCAAGAACGCCCCATGGAAGCAAATCAATGAGAGAGTAGAAGCAAACCTAGGGCGAATGCCAACAGGAGGTACGGTGCAGCAACAGACGGATCGACTGATGTCTGTGGTGTGCGAGGCAGTAGAGGCACTGACACCTACGGCCAAGCCATCACCGTATGCAAAGAGATGGTGGACGGCTGACCTCACCCAGCTCCGGCAGATCCATACCCACTGGAGAAACCGGGCGAGAGCGGAGAGAAGGGCAGGTAACAGTCAACCTGAACTGGAGCAACGCGCACGCTCGGCAGCCAAGCAATATCACGATGCCATCCGACAACAGAAGAAGAGCCATTGGGAGGACTTTCTGGCCGACGACGCCAATATCTGGAAGGCCGCGAAGTATCTCGACGCCAGTAAAGGGGCATCTTTCGACAAGATACCTCAACTTAAAAGGGCGGATGGTTCCCAAACGGGAGACGCCGCAGAACAGGCCGAAGAGCTGCTCTCCACATTTTTCCCTCCTCTCCCCAGCATGATCGAGGAGGAGGGGGATCGGCCACAACGATCGCCGGTACCCTTCCCTAACCTCACACTGGGAGAAGTAGAGAGACAGCTCTTTGCGGCAAAGTCGTGGAAAGCACCCGGAGAGGACGGTCTGCCGGTGGCAGTGTGGAAGCACACGTGGCCAGTGGTGAAGGAGAGGGTGCTTACACTCTTCCAGACCTCACTGGATGAAGGGGTGTTGCCGAGGCAGTGGCGACACGCAAAGATCATCCCGCTGAAGAAGCCAAACAAAAGCGACTACGGTATAGCGAAGGCCTGGCGACCGATCTCGCTTCTCTCGACGCTCGG